ACAAGAATGTTGTTTTCTTTTTGATCATAAAAACACTGCCTGTTTTATTTTTTTCAGGCCACCGCATGATCAACCCCCTATTGATACTTTGATTTCTCTGTATCTTATTTATCTATTTGCGTTATTTGTCATGGTACTTAAACGAGGAGTAGGTTAATTATCCGTAATTGTGCGTATTATCCAGCACAATTGAGGTTAGGCTTAAGATAGCTGTGTGTGTTGCAAGGGAGCACACTCACGCTCCGCTCGATGTCACGGCTGTGGGACGGCTCAGCTGAATAGTTTCCTAGCAACAGCCTAGAGAACGAGGCAGAGAGAGGGAGGGAATGTGACAGGCCGGAGTATGGGAGGTGATTTCCTGGGAGGAGTGGCCAAAAGCCCAACAACTGTTGCCAGATCGCTAGCGTCTCTGTTCGTGTGTGGCCGCATGATCGGTTGCTGCAGGTTGGAGCGAGTGTGTGTGTATGTGTGAGGAGGACTGAGCCGGTTTGGAGCAACGGTGGATGTAGGCGGAGATACCTGAAGGAGCGCTGAAATCTGACAGGACTGGACACTGATATTTCACCTGTTGGACTGTGCTGAGGGTGGGGATCCTGGAGGGAGACGGGGACACCAAGTCTTGGGCGTCCTCAGCCGATAAGGGCTTAACCGGCACGGATGAAGAGGATGGAGGAGATGGATCTTCATTATTGAGTGGCGGGGTAAGAGGATGAGATGAGAAAACTCACATGTGTGAACATTTGCTGCAGCCAAGCAAAGTCCATTGTTCCTGCTCTTCCTCTCATGTTCATCTCTCATCCTCTTTTCTCTGTAATAATCTTTCAGCGTACATGATCATCTTCTCCCAACATTGATGCTGAGAAGCTTTTGTAGATCTATTTGACTCCCAATGGCACTTTAGAGAGATTATTTTTTTTGCATTTTATTGTGATATACTAAGGCTCTGAATGTGGTGGAGTTCACAACCAGCCTGTGTGTTTCCCAAACACTACACCTGCCCTTGAATGACAAGTTGAATGAATGACTGGAGAGCCAGCCTGGGTTGTGTGGTGATCTGTTGGAGGGGAAAGGGGTCATGCTATTGAAATGTTAATCAGACAGTGTGTGTTTGGTCTGTGTCGATGCGTTTTTTTGGCAGTGTGTGTGTTAATGTGTGCCTTCGTCTACCCAACAGCCATTGGTGACCCCATTGTTTCTGCTTTCCTCTTACTTTATTTCTTAAATGCCAGACTGGTGAAAATATCTGTTCTTGGAGAAAATCCCCAGTTTTGCACCTCAAATGAGACTAATGGTGTAGAAAAACTAGCAGACTGATTAATGGTTGTTGTAAGTGCACATGCTCGTAAACTTAAACCGTTAAGTCTGTGTCTCTTGGGAACAGGGCTAATGGCGTGTGCTGGGAGTTGTTGTGGGGTTGGGGGTTGTCGAAAGGGAGGAACTGTGGAGTTTTGAATACTGCTGATAGTTAGAAGGGACTGTGTGAACATGAAAAGGGGAGGTTGAGTGTGCTGGGGTGGTTTGGGAAGACTCTTCGATGGTTAATGACCACCTACTGATAGTACCGCATCTATATTGTGTTTGTATGAATGTGTGTGTTTCTTAATGTTGCAGTAATGTTATTCCACTGGCAAGGGACAATTTAGAAAGGTCAAGGAACAATAGGGTTAGACGTCCATTAAAATTCCTTCACTGGTGCTTGCATTTACCCCTCTCTGGGTTTGTTTTGCCAAAGTGTTATTGGCTTCTTAAACTTTTACTGCTGAGAGCTTGTCAGCTATATGCTGATAAATGTTCATTGTAGATAAAGTTTAGTCAATACAAAGCCCTGTTCCCTCACTGCAGAGGACATTTAGTCATGAGCCTGCTCTAAACACAGCATATGTGTGGTTGAAATAACATTGTTTTTATCTGTCAAAGTTGTCATACATATTTAAAATAATAAAATGTCTTAAATTAAGCATAATTGTATCATATAATGCATTAGTATATGTATTGGATGTCAGTACATGCCCTGTCTAGGTTTTTATGGCTTTCAGTATTATTCTGAAATATTATTACAGTCTAAATTAACTATTTGAATATATTTTAAAATGTAATTTATGCCTGTGATGACAAAGCTAAATTTTCAGCAGCTTCCAGTCTTCAGTGTCACATGATCCTTCAGGAATCATTCTAATTTGCTGATCTGATGCTTAAGAAACGTTTCTTATTATTATTATCAATGTTGAAAACAGTTGTTCTGCTTAATTTTTTTGTGGAAACCGTGGCACTTTTTTCAGTATTATTTAATGAATAGAAAGTTCAAAAGAACAACATTGATTTGAAATATAAATCTTTTGTAAAATTCTAAATGTCTCTTTTGGTCAATTTAATGTGTCCTTGCTCAATATATATATAAATAATCTTACTGATGCGGAACTCTTGAACGCTTATGTGTGTATTATATATAGCTATAGTAAGCATTTTTCTGGAGTTTTATCATTTTTATTCTAACTTTTGCTTGGTTTAAAGTCATCCACCCGTGTACAGTATAAGCTGATGGATGCTGTGTACATAAGTACTGTACATAAGTCAATCCAGTTCTCTTGTCTACTGCATTTAAGATTAGTCATTTAGCAGCTGGTCTGACAGCTTTAGATATCGATCTTTTATGAAATGCTGTATCGGGCCTGGTTATTGCATGGGCAGCAAAGAATCTGTGCATAACCAAGGGCACTATCTGTACTGTACTACCATTTCATGGATGTCATAATGCAAAGCCCAGCAAAAGATATAATTCAGTGTTATAATTGGGACAAGAGGTTAACTGCAGTTTGGAAACTCTAAAACCCAATAATGTGGTGCATCCAGACTATTGCTCTGCCAAGGGAGAGGGGTGGATGAACATTTTGTGACCGACCTTTTGAAGTCAGTGGTACACTTTTATGATTGTGCCTGGATGTTAGAGCAACTAAATTGAGAATCATATTTCCACTTGTCTCGACATGTCTTGCTTTCAAAGGGGACGCCAACACATGCTGTGGAATAATACGGTAATTTGCTTAGCCAAGTGCCCCTGCTGTATTGATTGTGTAACTGCAGCTCTGGATGGCTCTGGTATGTTTGTTGGGTTACCATTTTCAAGGTCAATAAAGAGTTCAAAGGTGTTTCGCTTTGATACTGTCCAGGGAAGCGCGGCCGACAGTTTTAGAGCCCCGAGAGCTGGATTATGACTCATGGCTCCCAGTAAATCCACACTGTCTTTTGTCTGCTGACTGTGTAGGCAGCGAGATGGCCAGCTATCCAGCTGCATTTCCACTGAGATCTCAAACAAAACCAGCCAAGCGCAGTTGATACAAAAATGAGCACCCAGCTTGAATGTCCCCCACAAGCATGTTTCTGTTGTTACTTCAGTAACATAACTGGCAGTAATACTTTGATCTTAGCTAGCTAGCTTACAGGTTCATTAGGGTCACTAGCCAAAACTAGCATTTAGCAAAAACAGTAATGTTAAAGGTAAAGCTATTTCAAGATACAGGGTTTAAACTAATTTAATTTGTACGTATTGTTTTGAGGTAGTTGCTGTATAGATTCGGGATGTCAGGTGGTCCAAAATGTTGGTTTGAAGTGGGTTGTTACCTGACAAAATCCCCCAAAACAGCAGCTACTGTGTGTGGTAGGGATTGCTGTTGTCTTGGAGAAATTTGAGAGGCTTTTCTGTCATGTTAATTTTGCACACTTGACATTTCTTGTGAGCTGCACTTGAAAGGCTGTGAATATTATGGTGCACTTTGGACGCTAGCCAGAATTGAGTGTTGTGTTTGTTTGTTTGTGTGGGTTGCTGTCATCTTAAGATCTGTAAAGAAGTGCTGTTCGTCTCCAGATTTACAGAGATAAATTAAACCGCATCTAAACATGAGCAAAAAAAATATTTGCTCTGCTTTCACTGAGGAAAATAATCTAAAAATGTATGTGAGTGAGATATCTAGGTGCATTCCTCCATCAAGGTGCCCTTGAGCAAGGCACCGAACGCCCAACTGCTCCCCGGGCGCCGCGGCAAAAAAAATGGCTGCCCACTGCTCCGGGTGTGTGTTCACGGTTTGTGTGTGTTCACTGCTGTGTGTGTGCACTTTGGATGGGTGAATGCAGAGCACTAATTCTGAGTATGGGTCATCATACTTGGCCACATGTCACGTCACTTTTTCACTTTCAATGAGGGATGAGCTAAGTCATTTTAAAGCACATTGGTGTGTACTGTAGTTCCCCAGAATGCACTAAAGGCTTAATGAACAGCCATAACTCTCAGCTTTAATAATACAGTTTCTCCCAAGACACATAAATACACTTTCACATTAGACAGACAGAAAGTGTCAGAAATGTATGTATTTAAACATATATAAATACTTACCATTGATTTAACAATCTCTTATAGCGTGATTACTTATTCTGCTCTGTCTGTGCAAATAACAATGAGCCACTGGGCAACATCAGCTGATTCCTATTGTCCTCCTGCCATTGAGATGTGACATGAATTTAAATTTTTGAACTGCACTTGTTGTAGGACAGAATGGGTGTAAAAAAAAAAGTCAAACAAGAGTGAGCAGAGAAATGTTCACTGTGGTATAAATTGGAGAATGGCAAGTATTTAAATCGTATTTCATTTTGAGAGCACCATTTCTGTCTCTGCCATGCAATCTAAATCCTTGTCCTTTTCTTCTCTTGGTTACACTCACTATGCGTTAGTCAACTGAAAGGTTTCACACCAGTTCACCGTGATGACCTTTGTCCTGTTTTGGCGTCCGTTGTGTCTTCTGGGGTTAATGAGGAAAGTTTCCATAACCTTTGACCCATTATCTTTTGTGTCCCTCTGAGAAAGGTCTTCTTAAGTTCTCATTTCACCTCACCAAGTTGTGTGTGTGAAGAGACCACATAGTGAGTCAGAGTAATCTGGTCTAGTTTTGATGTTACATTTGCATTTTGAGCAATATGACTTTATTGAAATCTTTGATATCTGTTTGCAGCACGGGGAGGGGAGTCTGGGACCCCCGATCATTGTGTGCACGCGGCCATACCCAGAGTGCCAGCTGTATTCTGATGAGGAAGCAATGGGCGGACGGGACGTGCAGGAGGCAGACATGGACAGTGCAGGAGACAGTGGGGCAGGGTCTGAATCTTCTGAAGGAGGACGTCATGATGATAAAGAAGAAGGACTGGGTGGACTCTTTCTACGTGGAAACAGGTCAGCGTCATGGATGATTTTGTTTTTTGTTGTCGCTGTTTTAGCATTATTTGAGCTTAAGAAGCTAAATATATGTTGCCAGAATTTTAGTTAAAATATTAATTTAACAATTATAGTTTCATTAAATTAATAAAAAATAATTACATTTAATTAGTGCTGTCAAACGATTAATCGCGATTAATCGCATAGAAAATAAAAGTTTTTGTTTGCATAATATACGTGTGTGTTCTGTGTATATTTATTATGTATGTATAAAGACACAAACATACAGTATATATTTTGAAAATATTTATATGTCTATATTTATATTCATATAATTTATATTATAAATAAATTAAGAGTTCAGATGCAAAATCCTCTAAGTGCTATCTGATATTTTCATCTAAAATTTGCATTTTTATCAGACTCCTATATTTATGTTAATTTATTTCACTTTAATGGCATAGAAAAGGACCTATACATTGCCATTAAATTAAAATTACTGAACCTAAACATAGGAGTCTGATAAAAATGCTAATTTTAGAAGAAAATTTCAGATGGCTTTTGCATCTGAACTCTTCAAATATATTTAATATATAAACATAACATATTTTTCTGAAATATATGCATGCATGTGTGTGTATATTTATATATAGATAATAAATATACACAGTACACATACATATATTATGTACACAAAAACTTTTATTTTGGATGCGATTAATCACGATTAATCATTTGACAGCACTACATTTAATCAAATAAAAAAATTAACTGTAAGAATTAGCACATAAAGTGAGACGTGTGGGTTTGGTTTTAGCTGTGGTCAGATGGTGTCGTCAGCAGCCGCTTCAGTAATCTCAGTGGAGGAGCAGTTTGAGGACTATGGAGAGGGAGAAGATGTGGACTTCACTCCCAGCAGCCCCATCCCTGATGATGACACACGTACCAATGGTTTCTCTGACTTGGGCTCCTCTCTGCCCTCCAGGTTAACTAACCCACTTTAGCACACACCTCTCACATGAAATACTGACATACTGTATGTTGTTATTCTGTAGGTTTCATTTAATTGCATGGATGAATAAGGGTGAATAGCGTGAAACCAGACATGAAAAAAACAAATAGAAATAAATATGAAATTATATTTTGCTTTCATGACAATTAAGCACATCCTTACCCCAGACATAAGCACAAAAAAATTAAGTAAAAATAAAAAGTGCATTATGGCAATGATAATTTGGATGTGCTTAAAATGTTCTTGGGGTAAAAACTTTGCACATTTTCAGGCGACAGATATATTTTCATATTATTAATGCATAGTAGTTATAATTCTGACACAAATACACTCTGTTGCATTAATGCTTTTGACAGCCATTAATCAACTCATTGTTAAACAAAATCACAACAGCCGATAATTATGAAACGCTTTTGGCATACAGTGGGAGTGTTGTATCGTTAGCTGTTCTCATTTTCTCTGTGTGATTCTGGTTGAATCAAGGATAATCCTATCATGAAATCAATAACATATTTTTAGGCATTCTTTTCCAACTATGCAAAATGTGAAATATCTTACCATTTTATATTATTAAATATACTGAGCAAGTAAAGTCTGAATGCTTCTACTGCCAGTATTGATCATCACTTGATGGTGTTTGCAGTGCTGGCCAGACCCCTCAGAAGATCAGGCACCTGTACAACAGTGAGCTTCTGGATGTTTACTGCTCTCAGTGCTGCAAGAAAGTCAACCTGCTCAATGACCTAGAGGCCAGACTCAAGAACCTCAAAGCTAACAGGTAAGAGGCGACAAGAGTTTGAAATGAGCATATTGCTAAGATAATAGCACGTTACTCTCATGGAGTGCTACAGGGATGCTGTACAGTATTTTTGTTATCCAATATAGAAGTTAGCATAACACTGGTTCGCTCAACAAAAAGCCAGTAGGATTTTTCCATTGGCTTTTAGATTATTGCAGAAAATGTGTTTGTTTTGAAGCCTAAATACAGCCGCTAGAAGTTAAAAGTTATTCAAAGTCACCATCACCACTAAGCTTATGAAGACACTTTGAGTCTTATTTTAAAATCAAGTTGGAAGGTTGGAGTTAGTTTGCGAGAGTAAAGGTTTGAACACAATAAGGCTGTGAAAGCGGATTAGTGAGTAGATGAGTTTTCCTGTTTGGCATGATGATGTTTAATGTCCCCAAACACCTCTGTAGTCCCATTTAGCTACTTAAAAACTTCACCAAAAAAAATCACAAATTGTTGTTATTGATGTATTCTATGTAGTACAATAAAACATGAAAATATCTTGAGCTTCTGTTAACCACAGACCTTATTTCCAACATTTAAACAAAATATCCATAAAAATAAAAATAAACAAGCTTAGAATGATAGAACCAGCTGTTTTCAAAATACTAACTCATGTCTGTATTTCAGGACTCATTCCTGCAGCACTCTGTAAGCATAAACATACACAAATATTGGGCAAAATAAACAATTTTTGATTACACACAAATATTGAATATATTTATTTATTTACATACATGTACATGTATTTATTTACATTTATCTGGCTCCTTCCTCCATCTTAATACAGTGCATATTAATAATGAAATGGCAATATATTTGTTGATGCTTTATTTCTGAATCTATTTTATGCTAAAGGATGGTATATCTAGCATGCTGTCTTATCTTAGTCAGTCGTCTCCCTCTGAATGCTGTCTTTAGTTCCCTTAACTTTGCAGCATCTATAGTTCATATTAAATGGCATAGCACTGTACTTCTGAGAGGATTCTTTATGTCTCAGTTCACTGTAGGTAAAGCTAGATATATTTTTATGAGTCTCTTTAATCACCCCGGTCTGTCAAAAGCTTTATCGGGAGATGGGTTTCATCAGAGGAGCTGTTACCGTAGCAACAGTGTTCCAGTCAAGGGTTTACTAATCTTTGTGAATGTTATCAGACAGTGAGGGAAACCTGAGCCCCTCAAGAAAAGCCTGGGGTGTTTAAGTGGGTGTGTGTGGTGGAATTTGATAAACTGCTGAAATAAGCCTTTTATTATTATGTGGACACCTAACAAATTTGGCACTTCAGGAGAACGACACTGCAATCTTTCATCTGTAACAAGATTTAAAGCATCGTGGGATTATTATGAAGTTTCCACCTCTGCTGCTGACACACCGAGACATGATACTGCAGACATAGATCTTAAAACCTAGTGAGCTGCCTCACTACATACTTGCTATTGTAGACAGACAGCTGCCTTCTAAGACAGCATCTGAACCATCCTGGGACTACATGAGTTATTTCAGAAGTATAGAGACGGCAGACAATTAAGCAATAGACACAATTGACTTTAATAAATTGCAACAGTGCCTGCACACTTTTTCAGCAGCCTTGGTTCTGGAAGTAATTGCCCTATTCATTTTTCATATTCATTTTCCAAAAGTCTTTGTTTAAGAGTTATAAGGTATAAACCAAAACGGCTAACTACCAGGAGAATAAAAAACATTATAAAGTTTGAAACACTGTTGAACACTTTATGCACTCAACTCAACTGTTGCAGCTTTAATTTCATTGTGAAGGGGGAGGGGCTATCAGACTCTGATTATTAATGACAAAGTAACCTTATAAAATTGCATAATGCACAAGTAATAGTGTATAAGTACATAGTGTATAGTGTGTCATTTGGGATGCAGTTTATTTTTATTTATACTTTTCAGTATTGAATGAAATATATGTATATTTAGCTACATCACTCCTTCTACTACAATGGATTCTTTTTTTTCCACCAAGATTGATGCAGTGCTTTCTGGGACTGCCTTTTCATTTTTATTATTATAAATCATAATAAAACAAGGTGGCAGCATAATCAAGTGGCTACCTTTTGGAACCGAGCAAGAGACGCTGTTCAGTAAAGAGCTGTGTGATTTCCTTTTCTCTGGCTGAATAGGTGTGTTGGGGAAGTGGGATCATGTGGCCTTTAGCTATTAATCCTCTGGCATTTTTGTTCAAATCCTTCACTGCGTACTCTGCTGAAGTTAAAATGCATTCATGCAAGACATGATCAGCATCACTATGAACTTCTCTATAATCAGCAAACATTTGGGTTATTGTATCAATTAAGTATTACTGTATATTAAAAAAACACTAGGCAGACTTGTAGAGAGATCTGCTATTGAATGACTGTTTAGTGTGAAAGCCATCAGAAAATGTTGTTTTTGCACTAGATTTGTCCATCTACTTTAACAGGTCATGAAGAACTATGTGCGCCTGCCCTTTTGAGGGCTTGTGTGTGAATGCTGTGAGTGTATTTTTTCCTCATCTCCCTTGGTTTGCAGATTGTCTGGCTTCATCATTGTTGTTGTAGTTAGTTGATAGCTGGGTTGGATATGAGGACAGGAGAGCTGACTTGTATTTCTGCGAGCTGTTTGAGTTCAGACCTGTGTGATGTAATGAGAGGAGGCCTTTAAAGAGTGACATGGGTCACACAGTTACATAAACACAGTCAGAGGTTTATAATTAGAGTGCAGGTATTCTATTTTTACTGAGGTCCTCCAGAGCTGTCTGATTATCGGTGTAATCTCATGACCTAGGACAGTCTGACTGCAGTACATAATCTTGGCCACTTGGGGCAGTAGTGAATTAGTAATTAGGCTCTAAACAAAACTGATTAGTCGAATTGAATAACCAAAACATTACAGTGGTAGATGCATCTATCTGTCTGTCTGTCTGTCTGTCTGTCGGTACCTATTAAACTGAATTTGGACAGCATGGTATTTTATAATTTTTTTATGAACTTTTTTTCTAATACAGGGATTTTTTCCATTTCTTTTTACAGCCCAAACAGGAAAATTTCCAGTACAGCATTTGGTCGGTAAGTCTCTCATCTTTGTTATTTTCACACGATCTGTAGAGTATGAGATTACAAAGCACTGGCTTAATACCCATTGCCTGACTATCAGTGTGTCTGAAAACACATACTGAGTAGGTGCTACTTTTGAATTTGAACGTACTTTTTGACTGTTAAAAAGAATGTTCTATACAGCATACAGTATATATAGTATTAATATCGGAATGAATTAAATTTGGACATACTACATCCTCCATGTTGTTTCTGTCACATGACATCCACTCCACTGCCATTCATAAATCCTCTCCCATGGCCTCATAGTTAACTGTCCATCAAATGCACACTCCAGAATTCTCGGCAGAAGTCATCCGGGTACTTTTTGCCTTTCGTTTTTCAAATACTATGAATTCGGACAAAATATTATTTTTTTTTGCATATATTTTTTGTCCACTATATACAGGTGCATCTCAATAAATTAGAATGTCATGGAAAAGTTCATTTATTTCAGTAATTCAACTCAAATTGTGAAACTCGTGTATTAAATAAATTCAATGCACACAGACTGAAGTAGTTTAAGTCTTTGGTTCTTTTAATTGTGATGATTTTGGCTCACATTTTAAAAAACCTCACCAATTCACTAT